AACAAAATAGGGATATTTTTACAACATATAGAAATCATGATATTTTTTACTAAATATTACCATAATTATTGCACGAACTTTTAGTCAATCCGAGTCAGGAAATCTGTATTTTCCTATAGATGGGCATAATGAATCTTTGACTGTGCGGTTGTTCAATAATCAAATATTATCATTATCTAATACCAAAACAGTAACAACTACAAGTGATTATATACATTTTTTGTTTTGTGAATTTTAAAAGAAGAAGGGATGGTTGACTTTTAACCATAGATTAAGATAAGAAATTGATAAGAGGTATACATGTTTACGTATGAGTAGCAGTGATATGTTTGTTTAACCTTTATAGCACTCACACATATAATGCTTGTACGAGATAACCTCTGTCCCTACAATAAAAGAAACACTCAGCCTTTCTGTCCACACCGTTTGGATCTGGGCATTTTCTTCCCGTTGGGTCTAGTGTTTCTCCAAACTCTATTAGTTTAGGTTAAAAAGAATAGTAATTTCATTTGTTAAACCAAAAAAAATAAGAAATGATATTTTCTGTGAATACGTTCAAACATCAACTCATGGATGTAATGCATATTATAATAATTCTGAATAAATATGTAGAAATCCGATCAAAAATAAATTAGTTACATTATAATAAAGTTATTTTTTATAAAGTTATTTAAATGGACGTATATGATAGAGAAATTGATCACCTGCGGTTGAGAGAACACATAGTCAAAGAATCAAGAGGAATGAGACTTTGATAGATGCCATTTTCTTGTTTGAAGTTTCTTTTCCTCACTAAAATAAAATAGTTGAACTTAACTAAGAAGTAGACTTTGTTAGACCTCGAATATATAGGATTTTTTTTTTTACAGCAAATAGAAATATATAAAAAAAATTGATATGTTTTTGCTAAATATTACCATAATTGTTGCATCGCAGAATGCAGAATAGAAAATTACTTAAAATTATCATGTCATGTTTGACTCATGACATCTGTATATAATTAAAGGATACATCTTTGATCGTAAGGTTACTCAAAATTGTCATTTGACATACAACAAAGTCTTGACTGCGTTATCCGGATCTAATTTTACCATTCCAGCGACCCATACACCTTAATTTTATGCATTATCTTGCAGATTTGTCTAAATGTGAGTCAATCACATTCAAAGCAGTCAAAACACCATAAAAGCATTCCATACATATCTTAACATAGGGAATTAGTTACGCAACTAATACGATTAGCAAGCTAACGCATTAAACAGTGGGAAAAAACATAAAATAATCCGATCTCAATATCCTGGAGGAAACCCTCTTTTTTACCCAACAAATAGGTATTAGAGCTTGAGAGCTTTGGATTG